GAGTGTAATATAAGGATAAGTGTAGATCGTGTTTGAAGGTCATACTATTTACGTCCTGTGAACGATTAGTGAACATAGTTACTGCGGTATTCAGATGAAAATATAAGAGAACAGTGATCTGGAAAAGGAGTAAATGTATCATGTGAAGTTGGAAGTGATCCAGAAACTATACTTAAAAGAAAATATCTTGTATGCCCCGTGAGCTTAATACCCTCGTTATCTCATGACTAATAACCACTAACAATGCAATGATCAGAAAATCTTATGACTGTGCTTAACGATTGCAACATGAGGAGGATCCCTAAATACAGATTGAAGTGAAGTGGATATACCCACGCCATGAAAATACGACGCTAGGGTTTCTTTGTTACACATTCTGCCCTGGGCAGTTTAAAGTTAATGATATACCCAATTAATTTCCCCAGGAAATGGCAAACCACATCCTTATTTTAGTATGTAATTTAGGATTAAGATACAGTATATAATTATAAGGCATAAGGTCACAATAGATAGGAAAGTGTATATGTGAGAACCAGAATAAAATCAAAGTGAAAATTAAAGATTGGAAACTGTAGGCCTAGTTCATTGAGAGACACGAGGCATCTTCCTTAGTGATCCTCGCTTTCTCACCAAAACAGGTTAGTGAACTCCATCGTGCTCCATTCAGCCCTAAAAAGACTTATCTAGCAGTTGTTTTACATCTTTAAACCTTGCCTGATGTTATAAAGTGAATTAATAGTTGCACTAATGAGTGGTGATAAAAGCCCATAAGCCCATCAGGCCTTGCTTAGTGATCCTCGCTCTCTCACCAAAACAGGTACCACACGTTCAGAGCATCGGCCATTACCACACTGTGAGGGACTCACCATGTGTGGTGTGACTGCTTATGGCCACTATGCACCTCCACTGTGAATCTCTGGATACCCTACATATCACCACCCAGGATAGGAGAAAATAATTGCGTTTGAGAAGTTTCGAGAACGCTACGTGGAGCAACCTGAGAATACCAGGCGTGGGACCAGTACTGGTATGATTACCTTGGAAGTATCCCATCTACTCCGCAAGAGTAGTGTGTGAACGAAGTACCTGGTATGTGTACCGAAGAATACAGAGGAGCTCCATACTTGTAGATGTGGAGTGTACCCGGGAGGCGGTGCTATGATATAACATGTGGTGCTGTAATGTAACATGTGATGCTATACTCTAACAGGTGGAGCAGTCTGATGTGTTGGGTGTTATGGTAAGAAAGAATGACCGAGGTAAGAAGGTCATTGATTGTTATGAAGAATGAAGATGATAGTAGAAGTTATTTTTATGCAAGACGTATATTGATGTGAAGTGTAATGAACATAATAGTGGTTCTTCTGATGAAGGCCAGCTCTTTTTGTATTGTGACAGGATGCCATATGTTTTATAAGGAATAAATTAGCTAAGTCATGCTTGAGTCACCTCTTCCCACCTGATTTGGTCAATGAAAAACCCAACCCAATGCCTAGCTTACAATGCCCGCTACCGAACGAGCTACATACTGTCCAGGGGGGTTTGGTGGCAGCGCTTAAAATTAAGAGTAGAGTTAAGTTATCCCCTTAAAATTCGTGGTCCCAGAATCGGGCAGTATATTACTCACGTTTTTAATTTCGACTTTGCATTGCGGTAAAATGCCTTTGGGTTTGACTTGACCTCGCTTGCAACCAGCCTCTGGAACTCATTTTCAGCCCTTCTACACCCTATCTTTGCTTGGTTTCTGGCTCTTACATACATCCTCCTGACCTGCTCATCGTTTGACCCAACCCACGTCTTGAATTTCTGGGCTTTCTTCTTAACTTTGTCAACCGCCGCATAGTTCATGTGTAGGGATCCCCTCGTCCTCCTAGAGGCACTGGGTTTGGTCTTGGGTATATATTTATCAATCAAATGGGTCACTTTACTAGTTATGATATTCAGCGTAGTGTCTGTGTTCTTGTGCCTTAATGAGTCAGGCCAGTTGATACCACTCATCTCTTCCTTCATCCCATTGTAATCCCTTGTAATATTTGCACCCTGGCCTGGCCTTATTCTTAACTAGGTAACAGTTAAGTCTGAATGACAACACTATATGGAGACTGGTGCCAACTGGGGCAAGGTGTTCCAGTTTGGCCACCATACCCTCCTCGTTTGTTATGAAGAGGTCTAGTGGTTTGGGTGTTTGCTCCCCTCTGTAATGTGTCGGGTCTTTAACATGTTGGAAAAGAAAATTCTCTCTCAGAGTTTCTACAAAAAGAGTAGCAGGGTTATTCAAGTCATTTGGGGGTGAACTCGTTTCTCCAGTCGATGTCGCCATAGTTAAAATCCCCCATGATAAGGACTCAAGGAGGTGGCTAGGGTTGAGCATCTCTGCATTGTCTATTAAGGCTCTTAAGTTCCTTTGATTTAGTGGGCCACAGCTTGGGGATCTGAAGATACACCAGGCAATAAGTAAGTTCCCTCCCTTTAATTTAATTTTACACCACTTGGACTCTTCAAAAACATCCTCTCCCTGTACCCTCGCCTGGCTGGCTCTAAGGTCTTGCCTAGCATACATAACCACACCCCTCTTGCAAGTTTCTTGAGTAAGGTTCGTAAATGAGTCATATCCAGCAATACTGAACTCACATTCCTCTGGGTCAATTCTCTTGTTCTTGTACAACAGTTCTACAACTCTCACAATATCTGGCCTTGAGATGGTGCGAGTGTTGGCCGTGAAGCTTGTCGTACATCTGGCAGCCCTGATACATACACAGCCGACAATTTAGTCAAACACTACTCACCCCATCACAGGCATTTTCCCCAATATTTTTCCCTAAAATGTCCGAATACCTGTAATTGTAAATAAAAATGTTGGAAAAGGATAAAAGTAAGTAAAAAGTAATAATGGAGCAGATGGCTAACACCAGAAATTGTTCAATTTCATTAATTTTTTCCACAGATGTTCTTTGGATAATAGTAATAAAAACGATACAACTTTTTATTTTAATTAAATTTTTTTTTTTTTAGTTTTCTGAATCTATGATTATATATCACCTGTAAACAGGATATGAAGAATGAGGGAAATTGTTGGGTATAACAGTGGAAAACTGATCATATGGCACTAAATTGATGTCTCTATATGCTTTACATGTGAAGAAATTAATTATTTATAGCAAATACTTCTCGTCTGCTCTTTGTTTACAACCGCCCTGCTCAGTCTGAGTGTATAATCTGTATACTGTAGGTTAAAAATAAATTAAATCTCAACTTTTCCTTAACAAGCATCACTAAAATAATTAGAACAAAAAGACTCAGCATTAAACTAACCATGTATGTACAAGTATGTATAAAGGCACTCTCCTCTGTGATGTCACTGTCAAAGTCACTCTCCTCCCCAGGCTCTCTCTCCAAACTCCACAGTTCCTGAATTTTCACACCTAAACTGATGGAAAGACCGGATTTCTTAGGTACAGTACCAGCAGGACGTTTTCCAAGCATGGTGATGATTTGTTTTTTAATGTTGGGCTCAAAAATAACTCACAGATCAACACCAGTTGTTGTCACTAAGGCAGAAAGCGTGAGATTGAATTTTGGCAGGCTAGTAAAGCATTGGTGGGGCAGGTGAAACACTGGTGCATGTGAGATTCAAGATGACACTACAGTAAAACCTCAATTAACCGTCCACATATGGGGGGAAGGGGGCCGACGGATAATTCGAAAGGTCGGTTAATAGTACATAAAGTCTACGGAAATAAAACATACATTTTCAAAGTACCTTTCCCTAACCTACCTCATTTAATTCCCTCTATTCATTTTTGTTCATTTGACAGTCATATTTCAATAGAATTTGCTTTAAAACATTAGCCACTTTAGTAAATAAATATGAACCAGCACAGAAACCGTGAATAAAAAGGGAAAAGTCAAAGAACATATGTCATCACAAAAATTGTGACCAAGTCCCAGGTTGCTGATCTGAATTTCTACCTCATTTACACACAATTGCAGGGTCTCAATTGCTTCTCTTACTATTGACAACACAACATACATATATGATTTCTCACTCGATTTTTTTTTTCATTTTTGCATTTATTTATGGTTCTTAATTATTATTATTATTATTATTATTATTATCATCATTATTAATATTATTACATTATCGCCCCCCAAGCCGATGTGGGTCAGTGACCTGTGCCCGGGTGGGCTAATCCCTGAAAAAAAAAAAAAAAATTAGGAGTTCGGGATTGACGGTTAATCCGAAAGTCGGTTAATTGAGGGTCGGTTGATCGAGGGTCGGTTAATCGAGGTTTTACTGTGTATCAAACAAAAGCGACTTACAGTATATCTAATATTGTTCCCTAATTATTAAATGACTACCGGGTATATCAAAACAATGCTGTTTAGCATGACATTCATCAGCGATGGCCTGTAATTACATGTAAAGGGGACCTTATTCTTACCTGACCTGTTTCCCATGAGATTTATGAAATAGGGAAATAGGATATTTTCTGATTTCCAAGGTTGTTAGTACAGTATCTCAATTTAACATTAGAGTTAAGTGTATCCCCATTTTCTTATTATTAAAATTCAGTTGTGCCAGTCTATCATGTACAGCCTCAGTTTCTAACATCTGGCAAAATAATGCCCATTCATAGAAAATTATACATTGACCATGTTGCGGTGTTTTGAATGTTCATGACACTCATGCAAACATGGCTTTTTCGAACATACCACCACCCATCAGCTCAATGCAGCCATTTGGACATTTCAATGTGGTAAAACACATAAGCAACTGTGTCTTCTGGCAATTCCCCTCCACATTGTTGCTCAATGTCTTCCTCCAAGTCACCCCTCCACCTCTCCTCTCATCACTTCCGATACTTCAGCCATCCAATGGACCTAAGGTACATTATTTTTACAGTGTACCTGGTTGGAACCAAATGCCAAATGTTCATCCCATTTACATACTTTATTTAATTATTAACTGTTGCTAAAAGATAACAGACAAAATACAAAAATATGTTGATGAATTTATTGTCCAATGCCATAATTGCCACAGTATGGCTATACAGACAAAATTGTATAAATACTTGAGAACAAAGTACAGTAGTACACAGTTTTGACCAGGTAATTTACAAAGACAAAACAAGATATTTTGGGCGATAAAAATCTTATTCAAGTCTATTATATAGATAAAAAGTACAGGAAGTCCCCGCGTTACGTTCTTGGACCTGGTTGTAGGTCGATATGTGCGTAACTCAGAACCATGTTAATTTTGCAATAGAAGAAAAATTCAACCCATTCCTATCCATAAACTCATAATTCTAAGCCACAAATAGTAATTAATGCATGTAAATTATTTGTAGTATATAATTTTTTGGGGGTAGTTACCTTGAAGATGGCTTGCTCATATGAATGGATAAAGCTAGGAGAACTAGTAGATGCTTTAATTTCTAGGTGAAGATAGTGTTGGACACATTATGCTGACACTGGTCCTCTATCCATACTATTAACAACTTCTCCATCTCCACAATAACACCCATCTCTGCTTAGTAACAGTGGCAGACTACATTGTGGCAGATCCCTTTACATGCTCACGAATTCTGTCCTTGTCTTTAAAGAGTTGTGTTAATCATATCCCAGTTCAACTTTAGCAACTGGCTAATTTGGGATGGAGGCTTGCTAATTGTGTCTAACTTGGTCTGACACTTTTTGGACTTTGGATCATCATATCCACTACTCGCATGCTTCCCAGTCATGATAAGGATTCACAAAAATCAGCAAGCAGATACCAAGAAACACACACGAAAGGTGATGCCCAACTGACTGACTGCTGTTGTTGCCAGGACCTGGATCCACCAAGCACGTAGCTGAGGCACGCTGCCTTTGTAAGTACCAGTGAATGTTCATATGTTGTGCTGGATTTTTATTATGAATATAATGGGATCACATTTGTAAGTATGGGAGCTTGTAACTCGGGGATTCCATGTATACTAAATACAGTGAGATAATAAATAGTCCCATGTAAGACTTGTATATGCTTTGATTTTTTCAGAATAAGGATTATTTTAGAAGAAAAAAATACTAGATGCTAAATACTGAAATTAATGGGTTTCATATGTTCAGATAATTATACTAATTTGCCATTACAGTATCTTGAATGAAGATTTCACACTTTGATGCTCCTCTGTGAGACATGAAAACTACAAATGAAGATGACTGGAAAGTCTCCTTATCTATCTTAAAAAACATATTTCACATCCGTGTCTTTTAGTAAGGCAACAAATGTCAGCTGCTGTCATATCGTTTACTCAAGTGATAAGTTGTGGAAAAGGCAACGTTCACTCCACATACTGGCAGTGACAACATGCTAGTGTAGACAGTGATAACTTTCTGTAATATCTAGTTTCCAGTAAATGTACATTACTTCAAAGGTCAATTCGTGAGGCCCTTTGTGTGTTTCTTGATCTTTGAAATATGAAGCAAAAAAAGTACATATACTGTATATGAACAAAAATTAGGCATCACAAAATCTTTCAAATGCACTATTAAAAATCATCTTTGAAGTTAGAACAGGAAAACTTTTGGTAACAAATCTTAAAATATGAATATCATTATATCTTCTGAATTTGGAATAAAAATTATAAATTATAATATTAAGTGTATATATATATATATATATGAATAATTTATACATTTGCCTGTCTGTTTTCATAATACCTTCTTATGTTTCTTGAATACATAATTTGAAGGGCAATATAATTTATATCTTCAAAAGACAGTTGTAATCAGCCTCCACCATCACCACGTCTACCAGAAGCTACCAGAAGTTTTACCTCCAGGTGGGTTGTTCACCTTCACTGAAGGTCGCTTTGGAGACTTGTCATTAACCTGGGCACCTGTAAAAGTGATTAATACAGTAAATACTAGTTCAAACTTGCTGCAGTTCAATAATATATGTGTGAGTGAAGAAATTGTTACAACTTTGATGCTCAAGTTATGCAACTTATCACAATTTTCATATAGAGAGTATTATGCTGTACAGTACAGTATATGCAGATACTAAGAGACTAATGTTAAAAATATGATCTTGAGCAATTGTTGTTTAGTTATGGCAATTTCTGGAAGTATACTGCCAAAGTTCATTCAATTAGTAAGTCAAATATTTTATAAATGATGTTAGTAAAAACAAAACATACCTGAAAGCAGTCAAAGCCATTCATTATTATTTAGAACAAAACATAACATAAGGAGACAAATACAAATTCAAAATTTGTGGTACATTCACTACTCCATTCAAGGTTTACTGCAAAAGAAAGATAATAAAACAGTGGAGGTTAAGCAGAATAAAGCCAAGTATAGTAAAGCAATAGTTATTTCATACCAAACACCCTTCAGAAAAAAGGTGTAATTCATGTATCAAACATCATGCATTCACTAAGCTATTCAAACAAACATTAAGATGTGAGAAGAGTGAACCCCACTGGTATAAGTCATTAATTTAATGAGTGTGACTGACTGTTCAATAAGTTCATTTCCATTTACTCAGCTTACTGTGGTATAGCTTAAGTTAGTTATTTCATTGTTTATTTAAATTGTGATTAGATAATTAATCAGTGTCAAGTTAAACACCATAGCCTGTTAAAAAAGTTGAGGAAGCACTTAATGCACGGCATTTTGAAAACAGTTTATACCGTAATTCAAAAGGCATTATTTGTAGCACTCAGGTGACTGTCCCAAAGTTGTCACTAGAATGCCTCTAAGCAATGCTTTTACTACTGCTGTGTCAACTCCCAAGTTCTTCCCCACTACAATTTGTTGTAAAGCAGTCAACTTGTGCATCTCTGTGCTTTGCTCCTAGAATATTTCTAAGCAGTCGAGTCACCAGAAGATACCCTGGAGAGATGTGCCACTGTGAGGAGAAACTAGCCTGATGCTCGTCCGAGGCCTAACATCGTCGTCTCTCTGCCACCCTACAATAACCAGTTGGCTGCTTCAGATTACCAATATACTGTAATATTATAATATTAAAGCAGACTGTGGCAGTTTACTTATACGACCAAGGATATTTTACTGATTTTACACTCAACTTAAAAATTTTAATTGTCTTCATTTCTCAAGATTTCAATTCAGTACTGTATGGAATATAGCATATCTTTAGTAAATACAGTACAGTACTATTAAAATGTTTAGTCGTATTCTAAAAATATTTTTCAGACATTTCCAAAGATACAGAAAAAATAATCTATTGAAAGCAACTGTGTGAATACGAAGTACTGTACTGTAGGTTCGTTAATTTTATTTTGAGGATGTGCCACAAACTATCTTCCAAGCTTAATTTTTTTCTTTATACAGTATATGTATATCCAAGAAAATGTTTAAAAGAGTTTAAACATTGTTTTTAAAATGTCTGCCTTGATAAAAAAAATACAGATGGACACAGACTGAATTTTTTATCTGCTACATATGGTGATGCATAAAGATTTCATGTGCAGTTAAAATCGATTATCTGATTAAAAAAAATTTATGAACAAACATCCACAGTTAGTGCTAATTATATTTCACAACACCTTTAATATACTAAATCTCCACAAAATCCTTCCTTGATGTAACCTTTCATTGCATGTGATGCTCTGAGAAGACTCATTATTGTTACTCACAACATGTGTCTCGGTAAAATTCTTCCAGTGATACGTAAGTACAGTAAATTCCCTTGGTACAGAAGAGATCACAGCTTTCCTATATTTATGGAAGAAATTGACAGTCTGTAAGAATGTAGAAATCAAAACACTTAAGATATGTGACAAATTATAATGTCCATTGTTAGGTACATATAATCTGGATCACACCATAACAGATGACTCACGTTATACAGCCATATTGAATCTATGGGGTTAGATCCCATATATACCCCTTAACAGTGGCTAGGTGCTATAAATAACAACCCCCAGCTTATAATTGGATACCTGAAAAGGTTTCTCATATATATAGTCGCATCAAAAAGACTAATATTTTTTTGCCATGTGTGAAAACCATAAATACTCCTTTTTTTGTCTCAACAATATGATAGCTAGACAAATAACCTTTCAGTGCTAAATGCCTCCCATGACACCAATGGGAGGAGGGAGATTTTCCAAGGCAAAAATTATGGTCTCTGTTGTAAGTGGGGGGATTGATCCCTAAATCCTGGAGACTGGTTAGTGTTCCTGTACTGTACAGTATCCCCTGAGGCAGCTCATCTTACTTATCATCTTTATCATCCACAGAGGGAATTTAAGCAAAGGTTGCCCTCCAAAAACAGGTAATTGAATAGAGCTCAGGCCCACCTAGCCATTATTGTACACATCACTTGGCAGGTATGGGGTGCTATCTTATTGAATTCTATGAGCAATCTATCATTTGCATTAATTTTCCAGCTGACCAATGAAGAACCCAAGTGTGAGAAGGGAGAATATCAGAGTTCCTTGGCTATTGGCTCAGAAAATTAGATTTCAGATCAATCCCTCATTTCTAACTTCCAGGTAGAAGTGGCCTATGACAGGTCACTCTTGTTACATAAAGCCAGCAACAAAAGCAAACAGGTGGTACTACAAAGGCACCCAAGTAAACATACATAATTGGGTAATAGTGAGGTTAACTACATTTTGACCAAACAATTAGAAATGTAGCTGACTGCCAGCACTAACTTAACATTAAGACTATCATAAGTATTAAAACTATAGATTAATGAGCAAAGCTTAAGACATCATGTTTCTCGATAAATAAAATTATTTTTATTATTTAAACTTCTATACTCTATACGTGGTGGGCAGTAACTGTGTTGAAACCACCCTAAACATCTGTACACCTGCTACAATGCATTAACTCCAATGTTTACATCCGGGATGGATTTCATTCATCCAAGGAAAATTTGTAAAAATAATAGTAAAGTACAAAAAAATTCTTCCCATTTTTATGGGTCTTTTCACAAGGTAAGAATCACATACAAAAAATTTCCTAAGTTGCTGGTTAACATATAACCATAATCCAATAATACTGCCGATTCTATGGGACATTCAGAGATAGCTGTTGTGATGTATCGTATTATTTGCTTCTTTTATTTTTGCACGCGCGCGCTTTTCGTTTAAGTACAGTTCTTTATTTTTACATTGTACCCGAATGTTGTACATTTCTTGCTTGTGTTAATAAGTAAATAAACCTTATAAGCATTTGGGGCCCACAATCCCAAACTCCTTAGCTTGTAATGAATTACATGTACTGGACACAACAAATGAAAAGATCCATAAATTTCCTATGCTTACACTATAAAATCATTTGGCTTGAACTGCAGTTAAAATTATGAATCTCATTGGACCTACAGTATGTCAAGCTATAATTTGACAAAATCAAACCACTGAACTGGATACTACTACCATGGACTGAAAGATATATTGTGGGCAGAACAGTTTGAATAGTAGAAATAATTAATTATGTGACAAAGTTGGATAATTAATCTACTTAGCTCTCCCTAAACAGTGAAGACACCAACAGAATTACAGCTGGCACTGAAAGTTTATTGGTCCACTTATCCTAGTGTTGTTACCAAACAAAATAACAAAGTGTTGCATATTATGATGAAGCAAAAACTGATTTGGTATTGTTTTCAATTACAATAACTTTTCAGGGTTATAGTTGGATGGAGATCATTTATCATGACTAATTGCTATATGGTTACTAACCCTGTAGACTTACTTAGTTTGTATAACTTTAATCACCAACAAAGGTGTAATGATCATAAAGTCAATCTTGAATATTTAAAAGCAATATCCAAGAATTAGCTTTAATACAGAAATGCACTACTAAATGATGAAAGAATGATACATTCATAAAAATCAGTAGTGTCGGAGAGGTTACTGAGAAATAAACTGCCCAATGTTACCAGCCAAAGGGTAAATAAAGTTGTTGATATATTAGAACTGAAGACAAGGTGCAAATTCCATGAGTAATTCAGGCAAATGTTGCTAATCCCAAAGGGAAAGGAAGACAGCTAAGGGATTTAAATAATAAGTCCCAAAACCACTTAAGGATATAATCCTCTATAAACACCAGTACTGTATATCATTGCCTCACGATTCAAGCTTTCAGTTTTAATTACTGTTTTGTAGTGCTTTGCTTAAGAACTTACCACTAATGCTACAATGAACAATAATATAAGGATTTTGGTATTCAAACTATTTTATGTTTTTCTTTGAATTTGATAGATCTTAATGTATTGCAGCATTTTTTGTGTTAGTTCTGCAACCACTACTAAATCTTCTCTAAGAAAAAATTGATCAACTGATGTTATGTGACACAGAGAAGTCAATCAGTTAGAAGACTACTATATCCCAGATGTATGAATGGCAAGAAAAGATGATGTGAACCATTTAAAAATCTGGTGCTGTTTAAGAAACCATAAAAATTGATGATTTATAAAATTCATATAATCCAAAGCTTAAATTTGTGTCAACCAATTTGACAATTTATATTACTTTTTTCTCTGAATTTGTAATGTTTTACTTTAGTTGTGTTTAATGTGGGAATGACTAATTCTTAAATTTCTTAAGCATCAGATTATTAAATATGCTCCGTGTTAGTTGAGCTTGCAAGCTAACCCGACACGTGGAAGCTTGAATCATGGAGGTTGACTCCCCCACTTCTGGTCGGACCTCGGGTATAAAAAGTCTCCTGATTGGCAGCCATGATACCACTCTCCTGCACTGGGACACGTCCTTGACCATTCAGTTGAGTAACAGGGCCATCATAGGGTGCGCGCTCAACCTACAAAGAAGTAAGCGTCTTAACCTTTAAATCACCGACATAAATTTTGTCACATACATACAAGTTTATTTCAATAATCATAATGTTCGTACCTTGCATGGAGCATTTGTTCGATCCCTCTCTTGCACTCTGCCATATACATGGGGACAGTGAGAGGGTGTAGGAACAAACTTGCCCATTCCAGATACTGCTCGAACTTCTCCTTCTTCGACCACAACACGACCATGACATATAACATAATCAGCAATGCCATGAACTTCCATGCCCTGAAATTATCAATTGCTTAACTATTTATGGAGAGAGGGAGTATCAATATAATGATATGATAATATACAGTATGTATTGTACCTAGAGCCATTTCAGATAACTGAAAATTTTGGTTAACTGAAGGTCAGTATAAAAACATTAATATATCACTAAGCACCAAATAAATTATTTTATGATAATTATAAACTGATCTCTAAATTTAGTGGATTTTGAACCAAACCATAATTTTCATGTTTATAGCTGAAACGGCAATGCCTTAGTAATATTTGGGCAGCAAAGTCATTTCCCTCGGAATTGGAAGATAATGTGTATATGTACTTCAGTACATCCAGAATAACACAAATGTGCCCAAGAGTGCAATAATACCGGTTCCATCATTCCATAAAACTCTCAGACTTTTGATGTAACCTGCAATGTTAACCCCACCCAGGTTGCCATCACCCATCCTGCTCATACTAAGCCAACACTGAGACACCTCTCCTGTCACTGCTCTAATGCATGCCAAAGATTAAAAAAAAAAAAACTTGTTTCTTCCCCCTACCAATATGTTTATAATACAGTACATTAAGCCCCCCAAAGTGGAGGTTACGGTCCACGAAAACAAAGTGTTCAGTGAATCCACGTAGGAGGAAGTTGTAATCTTATGAGAATAATGGGATTTGCAGAATGTGGCCATGTATATGCTCTGATTAACACGTAGATCTTTGTATATACTGTACTGTACCCATAAATGAAAAGCCCTAGCTATATTGTATTATATATGAACAAAAAATATAATAAAATCAAACAAGGGCATTCCCAGATGAATAAAAGGAAACATAAAAACAAAATCCATTTTGTTGTGAGAAACCCAGTTATTAGAAGTATTTATCGGGTAATATGGAAGAAGTGGGAATAGGTTCCAGACCTTTGTTATTCTGTGTTTTGCATATGCTGAAAATGTACAATTGCTATAATAAACAATAAAATGGTACACGGCATATCATAAAATACAATAGCATACATTTTATATACAACACATATCTGTTTCAGCTCTCAAACCACCTAGCGACCTGTGTCGGCTGTTCTGTGTGACGTCGTGATGTCACACTGGGGGAGGCAGGCAACTGGGCTGGCCACGCATAGGCAACAAACCATACAGGCATTAAAAAAAAAAAAAAATTATTTTGAGCTAAGCTTAAATTTAGCTAAATTTAACTTGACAATCAGTGACAAAAAGGTTAAAGTAAACACCTTTGATAGAATCAAAGGTGTGTGTTTAGACAGAAATAGGCCCAACTAGGTAAGTTGCTAGACACGCTATTGACAAACTGCCTATTGCCTCTACACATACGTTCACCTTACACACAGAATACACACCCTTGCTCTTCATTTTTATTATATTATATTTTCTTTATTTCAAAGTCAAATTAGAGTACTGAAATGATTTTTCCACAAATTTTATACTTTCATTGCATGTAACATTGGCAACACTCATAGCCACATAACAGATCACAGCTAATTGGCGACATGTTTTGATTTGCGCACCTTATTCAGAGTGCCTGAAAGAAAACAAACAACTATGGCAATGCATTCTTGATGGATCCCATAGTTCTTCTTAATTTTAAGAAGAAAAAAAATAAAAGAAGGGGGGGGGGGAACACAAGCTTCATTCATAATTTATCAAGAATTTTAATTTTCTCTTAATGTCTTCACTTTAGGCTTTTTTTTTTACCCAACCACCACCTAAAGATGCTGTTTAGGTTTAGAGTCCAAAGTGTTTAAGGGGAAGTTTCACAAAAACAGTATAAACAGCAAACAGTAGATCAACACAGACAACATGCATTAGTCAATTATTTTGGCGTATAAAAGCGAATGAACACTGGAGGAGGGCTTACTATACTATTTTGTGTCCTATTTTGTAGAAAAGTTTATCTTAATTCCACACACATACACACACACACACAAATTTAAAACTGTACAGTACCAAGTCTTTCCTGAAATAATTGTGAAACAGAAAATAAAAAATGTCTCATCAGTATACTAAAATATATAATAAATATTATATACAATAAATGATACATGTATAATCAATAAATATGACACGCACAGTTGAGGTCCTTTGATATTGGTAATTTATGAAGACAAGAAATACCTCAAAAATATTGAAGTCAACAGCCTGGTGATGAGTCTTTGCAGAAATTACTCTGGTAGCATGAGGGTTCCACACTACAATGTCAGCGTCTGAACCTACTGCAATGCGACCCTGGAATATTCAATTTAGTTATTTTACATATAAACATGCTGTATAGCCTATGTTCATATATCCTAATTACAAAAATTTTCTTCCTTGAATTTAATACTACTATACATAATAATTTTATCTGATTATCAAAGATAAAGTTTTGTGTCTATATGAATAAGATCATGATGAGACCAAACACAGCGTAAAAATGTGCCATGAAAAAATATTTGTAGAACAAGGCGAGAGGTTTAATATCTGAGACAAGAGCATCTATATTGTGAATCAATTTTTTAAACAAGATCATTTTCTGTCAGTGCCACAGACAAGGAATATGGTTGCTCAACAACAATAATCATACTTAACTACCTTAGCTAGGTTTCTGACTAAATCAATTCCATTTCCTGTTAATCAGTCCAATTTTCTGAGTTTCTACTTTTGAGTACATAATTACCTTACTATGAATTTGAAATACTGTAATTATTTTGACTGTGATAAAGTTCACTAAATTGTCTGGTCTCCTTTTCAATAAGGTTTAACTTAAGCCAAACTTTTACATATTTTTCCAATACCCTTCCAATTACAGTATTTTAACCTTATAAAAGTAAATAAACTAGCTTTTCACATGATTTTTTTTATTCAAGTAAATAATGAAAAGAAGATATTTGCAGCGAGTGTGTCCATACAGGTGAGATTCACAAAGAAACCATTGAGCTGCTTTAGACAATCTCAGTTAGTAAGGAATTGCTAGGGAGGTTCATAAGTGGGCAGCAATCACTCTATAGGTCAGTTAACTAAATACAGTAAATATCTACCTATCTAAGAAGTCTGGACTGAGCATCAACAACTATTAGTTTGGTGCAGTCTAATCATAATTAAAATGAAGATACCATCCTTTACCAATAAAAAAAAAATCAAGATTTAAGAATTTGCACACAATCTCATCTACTTACCTTTTTGGGATAAATATTAAAGACCTTGGCAGCATTAGTGGAGGTAACAGCTACAAATCTGCAAGGGTCCATCTTACCCGACACCACACCCTTTTCCCAGATCACAGACATTCTGTCTTCTACACCATTAACACCATTAGGAATCTTAGTGAAGTCATCCTTTCCAAGTGCTTTCTGTGAAGCTGAGAAGGTGCAGTTGTCTGTGCCTGTTGTCTGAAGATCACCACTGCAAATGCAGCATGTAATTTGTTTTAATCAGTACAGTATTAAGATAGGTAGATAGATATACAGTAGAATTATAGATAGATATAAATTGATCAATATAGATAGGGATAGATAGATAAGATAGATACAGAAATATAGATAATTTTTTATATACAGTAGTACCCGATTTACGCGGTCAATTGAACCAACAGGGTACCGCGGAAAGTGAAAACCGCGTAAAGTGAACAACAGAAAATATGGGATTAATTCCAATAGAGACTGGCCCGACCCCCAAACTCCACTTTTTCTGACACAATACCTATGTTGTAGTAAAAATAACATCTAAATTTTATGATGGTATGCTCACACAATTAATATTTAAGAGAAATACAGTCGCCAAGTTAATGTTCATTCAAATAATGGACTCAAATCCCTCCCCCCCTTTTCCCAGCTCACTAGCTCCTGCCTCTCTGAGAAATGATTGGGTGAAAACACTAGATTTTAATGTTTAGTAATAAATAATACTTCAGACTAAAGTTAGGATAATATTATTGACATTTCTGGATTCCTTGCAGGTCAGGGAATATTTTGAATGTAAACTTTATATATTTTGCACAAAAGATAAAATATTTGCTTTGTGTAAACCAAATTATTACATTAGATCTAAAATTTGTATGTCTAATGCAAAATCCATGATGTTTATATTCAAAATGATCATCATATTGAAAGAATTCCAGCAATGTAAATTATATTCTGGCTGGGTAATTTGTATGAATTTTATGAGCTAAAACATATATCTTCAGTAAATAAACAAAGAAATATTCTTCAAGGACACTATCTGTCAATCAAAATACTCCACCCTAGTGGGGTCAGTCCCTACCCCCCACCTTCCCTCCCTACCAGAGAAGCTTTGGGAGAAAATAGTATATTTACATTTTTAGTAATAAATAATAACTCAGACTAAAGTTAGGATAATATAATTGACATTTCTGGAATACTTGCAGGTCAGGGAATATTTTGAATGTAAACTTCATATATTCTGCACAAAGGATAAAATACTTGCTTTGTGTAAACCAAATTATTACATTAGATCTAAAATTTGTATGTCTAATGCAAAATCCATGATGTTTATATTCAAAATGATCATCATATTGTAAGAATTCCAGCAAAGTAAATTATATTCTGGCCGGGTAATTTGTATGAATTTTATGAGCTAAAAAAAAAAAAAATAATAATAATAATTATACTTCACCGCGTATATGAGTAGATGCACCGCGGTTGTGGCAAGGTACCAAGGTACCGCATAAATGAGAAATCGCGGAAAGTGAAACCGTGTAAAGCGGGTAATACTGTACTGTATAACAACTGTAATCCATGGTCTTCACAAAATTACCAATTTCAAATATCTGTAGTGTACATATATATCCCTGTAAAATTTTCAGAATACGTGCCTATTACTTTACAGTACTGTACCGTACTTCTATAAACGTGCATATACAGTATGGTACTCTATTAAATATGCAAACATCTTCAAACAAATACATATAAAATTCTTTTGCCAAGATTATAAAAGTAGGATCATCATCACCATCATTCAAAAAGTCTAAACATTTGAAAAATAAAAGTAAGCTTCACAACATAACATAACAATATAGAGAAATTCAACATTATTAAGAAAAAATGTGCACCCCAAGTGTCTCAGGAGAGCGTACAAAACATATACTGTACGGTACAAGAGCTCATTACTGTACTTTAATTACTACAGTATTGTACACTTCATTCACTACTTGTTGCCTCAGACTTGTACAACCACAATACATTCAGAAAAGGGTTCAACTGACGATCATTTACATTGACTGACTTTACTATAATCATATTACAAAGAGAAAACAATGCACTTGATTTCAACGACCCAATTAATTTCTATATGTAAGAATAAGAATACACACATGAGTGCTAAACAGGTTAAAAAGTGAATCTCTGCTAAATACTTCTCTCAATAAATTGAATCCTCAGTCTAACTTTATACAGACTACAGTATTCAGATTTTACAGGTACTGTATGTATTAAAAATATAAAAGTTCATTTGTAACAGTATTACTCTTACTTAACAACATTCCTTTAACCAGACAAAATTCTCCCTAAACTACACATTTTCTGGTTTGTTATGCAATTTTCTGAATTTCAATTGTGCAACCATAAAAATTTAACCTACAGTACATTTGGGGCTCTTTAGGATATAGGGCCTAATAGGACTTAGGGATCAATAAACTCAATGTCCTAATGCCAGTTATACCAAATCTTAATGAAAAATAAAGGCCGAACCTCAAGTTTGTGGTGGCAATAAGTTTGGAGTCCATTAGGACATGGGGCAAAATGGATTACATGTCCTAATACTGTATAACCAAATCTTATTTGGTCATGCAGCACTAGTGGGCTGCAAACTTGATGGCATCAAAAGCTTTAGATTCAATTATTTTCCTGTAAAATTGGGTCTTGTTTGGAAGTGGGGCCACGAACCTAATGGGACGCTGACATATTATATATTGTATCAAGACAAATTACATTCTTGTTGGGGATCATTCAAAAGTATACATACAGTATTATAATTTTCCTCTTCTGTGACTTTCCCAAATCTAGTTATTGGAGATTTCTGGTTAAAAGAAGTCTGGTTTGTGAAAAAATAACAGTATATGCTGTGTGTCTTGGCTTCAGTGCATCAGGTACTATGTGTTGAAAAGTGCTCAAATAAGGGTTACATTCCAGATAAAGCAAGTGGACATCCAAATTATAAAAATTTAGCAAATTACGATTCCACGACTAATGACAATCTTACGCATTCAAAAGCTCCATCAGTAAGTTCGGAGTTTTGGGATCGTTACGCAGAGGAGGAGACATAACATGACCAGCTGCATGTTGCCAGCAAGGATTGTAGTAGTGAGAACCATCAGTTCCCAGAGCAGCGACAACAGTCTCACCCCAAACCAGTGTGCCTCTTCGAAGATTCTCTCCAAGAGCTGAAGCGGCTGATTTGCTCATAATTTTGCAAATATAAAGAGGACACCCAACCTGAAATAAACTTTCCCTAATAGGTACTGCAAGTAAAGCAGCTGTGCAAGATGAAGAAAGTAAAGGGCACAGTATAAGGAGAGAAAATGTTTGAACAATGAACATGGGTAAATATTCTGCACCAGAATTGAGAACCAATTCGTCACAAAGTACCGGTTACCACGTCAACAAACTTTGTACTTGCATTCATTTCTTTCCTCCTTTCCTCATATCTTTCTTCTGAGTATAATAAATTTACTCCTTATAAATTCCTTGTTTGATACTACTGCAAAACATTTACTCCGGACATTGAGTATAAGACAGATTGTAAATACTGTAGTGAGAAAAATCCTAAATTCTTAGAGTAAAATGATAATACAGAAGTAGATTTATCTCAAGAGAGCTGAATAAACTACTGAGTTACATCATCAATATTTATAATTAAGCCCATTACTCAAATACAAACAATAATAATACAGTATTAACAAAAAAAGCATACTTTGCCAAAAGATCCATGAGGTATCTGGGTGTGTCTGGGTCAGGTCTAAGGGGTGGACCCATCACGTGGGCAGCTGCATGCCGCCAGCACTTGTGCCAGTAGTGAGTACCATTAGTTCCCAGAGAGGCAGCAATGGGTTCACCAAACACAATGTGGCCCTGCTTTCGCTTACTGGAAACTACATCAGCAGCACTCTTTGACATAACATGCACTATATACAAAGGACAGCCAACCTAAGATGTGGAAAAATAAAAGAAAAAAATATAAAATGATTGTAAAACAATGCAGATGAAAAGAAAATTATAAAAACAAGAATTAATACCACAAAAGCAAATTTTTGTGTAATACCTACAGTGTCCATCTCTTTACACGTGTAATGCAGTACTCAATTTAGTTTCATTTAAAGCCTTAGGCCAGTAAAGGAGACTCAAGCATTGTACTCAGCAAGTCTGGTTTAGAACATAAGTTAATCTTCAATACTGGTGCTGGTACTAATCACACACCTACAAAACCCCTCTGCTCACAAATAGAGCTCTTAGAGGAGGGACCTCTCAAATGCAACCGTTAACACTGAAGGGTTATGAATGACAGTTTTTATACAACAGTAGTCTGTACAACCTTACTCTCCAGTCCAGTGTTCATCAGTAGCCATATTGGTTTTCCAGGACCAAGTACAGGTGCAGCCAGCTCCCTCATCAATAAAGATTAAAGGCCTGACTCAAGCTCTGCTGCTGCTATCATACTAAAGGAAAGGTATGACTGTGCAACACAGTTCCTGCATTACAGTATTAGCCTACTTAGACACATTCCAACCTTTATTTTCTTTGGGTTGTATTTTTTTTTAATTCGGCTAACAATCCAGTAGCTTAATTATATATTTTGTGGCCGTCAACTCGCAAATAAGGGTAAGCCAAATCTTTAAGGCTGTTGATTATTTTCAATCTTTAACACTACCATTTGTACAGCTACAGTATTAACATTTTGTTGGTTCAGGAGAAGATTTGTACAGACTACACCTCCATACATTTAGATATATATTTGGTGAAGAGACTTCAGAGTTGATATTTCTCAACAAATTATCAAATAATATTGCACAGACTGTGGGGCTTTTGGACACATTGCTTTTGTAGTACAGTAATTACAGATGGTTTAAATACCAAAGGAAAAGCACTTTATAAGTCTGAAGAAACTAAAAAAAAAAAAAAAAAAAAAAAAAAAAAAAAAAAAAAAAAAAAAAAAAAAAAAAAGGCTTAAATCAAGGATAAAAAATAGCTTTGCAAACATTTCATAAATACAGTACTGTACTGTACAATGTAATATGAATGAATGGGAAGAATTGCATTAATAATTGGGAGTTGTGTACCATGAATAGAAGAAATCTGAAAATGGTGTATCATGAATAGGGGAAAGACTTCTATGAGCAGGAATTTTATAGCCTTTCTCTTAATATTCTGTCATTTCCCAGTTAATGCAAGGCAACAAGAATTAAGAGCATACATGTGCATAAATGCATACAAACTTAGATTCTACCATTATTTAATATGTTTACTGATATAATAGATGGTATTCTGCGATGGTGCTCCCTGTCCACAGGACACCAAATGTAATTGTCACTTTACACAACCAGGCAACACTCATCAGCACCCATCCTTCCTCCCCTAAACATCACTATACAGTACTAAGACCTTTTAACATACTGTATATACTAGTGTATAGTTCGAGTTTTTAAGACCAAATTTTTAGGCAAAAAATTGGGGGTCGTCCTATACATGCGTAATAGTTTTGTTAGGTTGAACCCGTGCATGATGGGAAGAGCGAGGAGCAATTTTTAGCTTCAGACATGAAAAATATTTACCATTTACTGCCAGTTAACAATGGAAACGTAAAATATGTACCAATTAGTAATGAAAAGTTGTGCAGTTCCTTCAGTAAATGAAGCTCACCAACTTACAATAGGCTAAATTACCTTACAACGTGCTTTCAGTAGTCTATGTTGAAGTTCTTAGCACAGGATAACTTATCATATCATATACGGTATCACAGTTCTCATTGATCTACAAAAAATACCGGTATTAAAAACCTTTTCGATATTTCACACTTAATATAACACCCGGTAATCTACTTCAACCTCCTATCGTTTACAACGACGCATGACGCATCACGCACCACCAGCTGTATCAGCTAGACAGTACACATGTTTTTCGAATCGTTTTCAGTTAAAAAACTGTTACATCACACGTATATTTTACCTAAACTGCGCCTGAATGAATATATTCTCGGAAATAAATTGTGGTTTTGCTGAAACGTGATGTATTTTAATGTAAAATAGGATAAAATACATGACGAAAACTATTTTACCTAACCTTCCGATGTTCAAGAGAAGTTACTCGTTTTTTAATAGTTTTTGGTTAAAATATTGTTATATTACAATGGTATTCTATTCATACTGTGCTTGATATAATGCATTCACGGAAATGTAATATTTTTGCTGATATGACGTACGTAATACAGTGGAAAGTGGGATAAAATCGTGACAAAAGCAACGACTTTCGCTTTCTTTCGTTCAAAAGATGTTACCGTAATCGCTTTTCGAATGGTTTTCAGTTAAAAAACTGTTGTATTACGATAATATTCTATCCTAATTGACTTGAATAAATACTACGATACCATATTTCTGAATATTTTCATTAAAATCCATCAAAATCATTTTCCTTGTCATCGTCTGCAGCACCAAACAGCTTCTCCCAGTCTCTCCTTGAACAGGGCTAGAGGGTACGTGTTTTTTTAATCGTTTTCAGTTAAAAACTATTACATCACACGTATATTTTACCTAAACTGCGCCTGAATGAACATATTCTCGGAAATAAATAGTAGTTTTGCTGAAACGTGATGTATTTCAATGTAAAATAGGATAAAATACATGACGAAAACAAAAGACTTTACCTAAGCTTCTGTTCTTGAGATGTTACTCGTTTTTTTAATAGTTTTCGGTTAAAATTCTGTTATATTACAATGATATTCTATTCATACTGTGCTTGATGTAATACATTCACGGAAATGTAATATTTTTGCTGAAATTACGTGCGTATTACAATGGAAAGTGGGATAAAATCGTGACGAAAGCAATGACTTTTGCTTTCTTTTGTTCAAAAGATGTTACCGTAATCGCTTTTCGAATGGTTTAGTTAAAAAACTGTTGTATTACAATAATGTTCCCTCCTAATTGACTTGAATAAATACTTGAATAGAAATATACAATATTTTTGTTGAAACTACCAGCGTTTCAGTGTAAAGTGTCGTAATAATAAATGGTAAACAATTTGCCTTCGGCACTCGTGTTTCATGCACGGCGAGCCTCAGTTTATATGACGTAGAGCATTTTTAGTGAAGGTTTTGTTGTTCCATTACCCTCAAAAACATGGGTCGAACTATAAACGAGGAATATTGTAAATTAACGATTTCTTGGTCAAAAAATCAGGGTCGACCTATAAACGAGGGGGGGTTATAGATGAGTATATACGGTATTTATGTACACTGCTTCTTCCTGAATGTCTGCCGCTCACTTTTAGTGCTCCCATTCTTCCATCATCTTGGTTTTCTCCACTCCTTATCAGACAATCTTTCAGTTAACTTTCTAAATACATCTGTACCAACCAAGTAGACTACGATCTGTTCTATGAAAAAAAAAAATTCCATGTCTATATTTCTGTATTTCTTACTTTCTGAACCATGTGTATACCTTATACTGCCCTCAAGCACTTCATTTCTCTAGCATGAATTGCATCTTTCTTTTGCATCCCGAGTCCATGTTCCACACACACACACACACACACACACACACACACACACACACACACACACACACACACACAGTAAAACAGGCTCCTTTGGTATGTTTCTCTCTCCATACATATTTACATAATTTTCTACTGCACCTCTCATTTTATTTACAGCACCCACTAATGCACAGCAGCTCTAACCTCATACAGTATACTGTACAGTAAGTCCTCGTTTAACATTGTCCCTGACAACGTTGTTTCGTTATAACATTGCTACTCTTTAGACACCCATGATTAAGACAACTTCCCGCCAATTCAGTATAATGTCGTCACGGACTACTTTGTACAGCGCATCACCCTCTCTCACCCAGTCAGAGAGGGAGGAGGAGCCACCCTCCGGGTCTCAGTGACTCACCACCCTCCTCCTATCCACTACCCACCACACACTCGCGCCATCTCTGCCCATGGGTGAGTACAATACAAAATGATTTAGTTTATTTACCCTTTTGGATGTATAATATATACAATTTTCTATAAAAATTCCATTGAATTTATGTATCTGTAATGTATTTTATGGGGCAAAGGGTGGCTGTGGAACATAACTCTTGTATTTTACCTATTTCTTATAGGGAAAATTGATTCCGTTAACGTTGTTTCCATTAACATCGCGGTTTTCAGGCACGAAACCACAACGTTAAGCGAGGACTTACTGTACTTGCATAGTATAATTCCTTTGGTACCTTTCCTTTTGTTAAATATAGTACTGTATTGCCTTTACAGTCTTGCATTTTTATTCTAATTCTCATCTTTAACATTTAAACTAATTCCAACCAACCATCTTTCATCACTTTGTAACTTTTGCTCATTCTGTCCTCCTAAATGAGGACTGCCAACCTCTCACCCTACAACTCCCATTTCTTGTCATAATGAGTGTACAGTACCACGAATGAAGAGTGGAAATATGATGAATAAATGAATCATGAGTGGAAGTATCAATGGTAGAGGAAAGAATCACAATGCTAGGGAGCACCACGAACAAAGTCACACAAGCAATCTTTTGTAAGAATCTACTTCACTTATCACTGTAATTACAGGGTCAGTGATAAATAATGCCCAGATTTGGGCATTATTTTTCAATTACCCTACACAAAATGTATAACACAATCCAGGTACCGAGTAGTCATGTATGCATGAGGAGGCATCTAAATGCATGCAATAGAGCAGCAACAATGAGAGTACCTGTAACACATATAAGGCATGCAAGGCATCAATAATTTCAACAATAAGACAAAATCAAACTGTTTTGTGGCACCTAGTGTTGCAGTTACCTGTATACAATATGCAGTGGGAACCTACTCCCTCTCAATACAACATTTATTAAACATTTTACAGTATGTGTTTGAGCATCAATGAAAAATATATATTCAAACATTGTATAACAGTAAAGTAACAAGCATAATACAGGTGCTCCTCTACTTATGACAAATTATGTTCCTGAGGCTTGTTTGTAAGTCCAATTGATTGCAAGTCCAACTTTACTCCTGTAGATACCGAACAAGTTGTAAAAATATAAATTAAATTAAGGAATATTATCACTCAGCCAAAAGGCTGAAGCAAACTCATAACTCACTGTACAGTACTTCCTTTCCCAGCATTTATTAACCATACAACCTATCTTTCTTATATATTCAACAATTGTGCTACTTCAAGCAACTTTTCTATACTACCCTGTATCAAGATGCAAAAAATGCAACTAAAATCATTAAGCAAAAACTAAATGAAAGTTTAACACAATTGCTATTTGCATAGATATTGGCCGAATGGCCTAAAGCTCGCCATAGCAACCCAACACAGCTGGGACGCTTCCTCTGTCAACCCTCTAGCAACGGAGCTCCCTCCCTCCCTCCGCTCAGCCTGCTTACTCTCGCACACAAAGAAATGTTTACTCCCTCTATGTTTTTGACCTCATGATAGTTAATTATTTTACCCTTTTTGCACATTATGTGTGAAGGATTGTGTGTGCATGCAACGGAGTAAAAAAAATTAAGAAATTTAAGTACCTGTACTGTGTATTATATCTACTCAAAATTAGGAGTTGAAAAAAGCCATAACATACATCACAGCTCAGCCTGGTAGGTTGAAGGCTAGAAGAGTGTGGCTACAGTGAAGAATTTAACTTGGCAACAATGTCACCAGTGATGGTAATAGACACAGATTAAATGAAAATTATCTGTAAATCTTCATTTGCATTAAGTACATTATTTGTAGATTTAAAGTGGCATATATACTGTATAGTGACTGAGGTTCTGCTCTTCATGTAACAACTTAAATAAAGAATCTAGGGGTATGGTAGGCAAGGCCAGGATAAAGAAGCTTACTGGTAAGGATAGCCTATTGCAAGCATGTACACTAGGTTGTTATCGTTAACTGTAAATGATTCACGGACAGTATACACAGAGGTTTATTCGTATCTCTGAAAGTTCTTAAGTAAAGGAACACCTGTAGTTAAGAGCATCACACTTTTAATGTCAATTCAAACTTCACGGCCACACTGGCAATAACTTTCCTGGAAAAACAATACTGTGTACACTGTATGAACAGATTTGGGAGACATTAACAGTTATACAAATTTTGCACTATACATGTACACTCATTTCTTTATTCTATTGACAATTTCCTTACATATAAAAGTAAAAAAAATATAACTGAACATCAATCACTAGTTATAAAATGAATAATTTACTAAAATACATTCATTCTTTTGTTTCACCAAATTCAAGAATCTGCATGTTGCTCACCTGATTGGCCAAAACACAGGCTCTGTTGGTTGCTTCAGCTTCAACTTCCTCTGAGCGACACATTTCATGCCCTTCTGGTCCTGTGATACCCAGGGCTAACATTTTTCTTGAATTCTGAGAAAAAGGACCAAATTTTGTTATTTTGTCTTTGTACATACCGTACTAATTTAAGAAATATGTCGTACTCTTCAGCATATTAATGAGATTATGAAAAACTGAACCAGTCTTTTAAATAAGGAGCAGACAAACCACTGGAACAATTTACCTGTACAGTATTATCAAATCAATTACAGAAAAATGTTAGTGTACAGTACTTTACTTCAAAGGTTTCATTGAAAAAAAAATTGCTTACCTCCTTGATGATATCCCCATTTTCAGCATGTACTTGAGCTAAAGCACCAATCTCCTTGCATCTTTTGAATGATTTAAGAAGATCTTCATCTCCAAGCTGCCAAGTGTCTTTATAGGCCATAAACATCTTGAATGAGTTAATGCCATTCTCTTCAGTCAACTCCTGCATCTCCTCACCTACCTGTGTGTATATTATATTAATGTAGTATGATGGTTGAAATCAGTGGAATTAAGGATCTCAGTCATAAACATTTACCCTGAAGGGAAACACAATGAGAAATAAATTTTTTTCTCAATGAAGAGTAACTTCCACAAACACGAAGTTTTTAAGAACACAACTCCAAAACAAATGTAGGGCTTACTATATTACTATTGAGCGAAGATATTAGTGTAGAGGAAAAAATAATTACCTTATCTGACCACCATGTGACTCCAACGTGCAAAGCATAGTCACAGCACACCTTAGCGTCAGCCCATGTGCGCCAACGGTGGTATGCCTCTACCAGTGACTCTCCACGCTGAGGCAGGGCAAAGTCCACTGTGGGGACAGTACAAAGTTACATACTTATACATAACGATAATTTAGCTCATTAAACTGGAGACACTAGCATGAATAGCATAATAAAATACTGTACAGCATAGTCTCGTTTTACGTGGTCAATTAAACCCATGGAGGTCCGCTTATAACGCGAAACGCATAAACGAAATAACAGAACATATGGGATTAATTGAAATAGAGACTGGGCAGACCCCCAGACTACCCTTTTTCCGACACAATACGTATGTTGTAGTAAAAATAACATCTTAATTTTATGATGGTATGCACACACAATTAATATATAAGAGAAATATCAATAATATTAGGCTTTTTAACACTTACGTCAGTAGAAGAGATGGCTGGGCACACAGGGATGGGGGGCTGGTTCTGAGGCAGAGGGCAGATTAGTGGCCCTCAGGTGTATCACTTGTATCACCTGTATCACTATCCACCACAGAGGCTAGCAGGGCCCCCTCGTCAAACCCCTCAAAGTCCATATCCTCACTATTACTATCACTGACTTGGGCTGGCTGTGGTGGGTTGCGGGTGAAAAACTCTGTAATGTTTCATTGACGGCTAGCATTGATGTGGTCGTGATACATCTGGACATACGGCTCCATAGATTTCAACAGAAGGTTATTTGACACTTCATAGCGATGATTGACTGGGTCTTTGGCAAGGAAGAGCTTGATTTTCTCAACAAACTCGATGACCTCCTTCACATCACCATGTGTTAGCTTCTGTTCTTGTTCTTCCATAACACCTGGCTGTTCACTGACGTCATCATCTTCTAACATCTCCTACGCAGTCACATCAGGTTGCCTGATTACCTCCAGGATGTCGTCATTTGTGGTCTCGGAGAAGCCTGCAGCACTAACACTTTGTGCAGCCTCTCTTGCAATGTCCAATGCCACAGCAACAGACTGAGCCTCACCAGCCACCGCTTGGCTCTGCCTTTTACCTGGGATACCCTCCAACACATGCCGCCACGCGTGACGAATCGTTGCCACAGACAGCTGCCCCCATGCCTCCATCAAGAAATCAACAGCTTTCTTGACGTTAAACAGTTCCAGAACTGCTTGACTCGCACTTCATGGTCCGCCAAATCTTGTTCTGGGTCCTCGCTCTCGCCATCGGTGCCACTCGGAAGGTTCTGCAATTCATCCTTGGTGTTAGTGAAGTCGGTCAGGAGCCGAAACTTCTTTGCGGAGAAAGCAGCCTTGACGTTGCATATCAACTCCTGATCCATGGGCTAGATTAACGACGTAGTGTTAGGGGGAAGGAAGACCACTTTTACATTGGGGTGACGATCCAGCAATAGGGGCGAGTTTCCTGGTGCTTTGTCAAGGAGCAACAAAATGTTGAATGAAACATTATGTTGCTCGCAGAATTTCTTCACGTTAGGAACGAAACAGTTGTCAAACCAGGAGAGGGACAGACCAGTGAACATCCATGCCTTCCGTGAGGTTAGCCAACGGACATTTAACTTGCTCATGTCCATATTTTTGTGAGCATGCGGCTTGCGGGCTTTGTGGGTCACAGACAACTTCAGCTTACTAAGTGCCGGAGGCATTGGCGGTGAACAGGACAGTGATGCGCTCCTTCTGCAACTTCCGGCCCCGACACTTGCTCGTAGACTTGACTACGAAGGTCTTGGATGGCAATTTCTTCCAAAACAACCCGGATTCATCCATGTTGAACACCTGGTCGTCGGTGTACTGTCTGTTACCGCAAGCGGTACATAATTATGATGACATATAAACAAATGTTATGTTAGGCTGTAACTCACAATGTAGAGTGTTGAGATGGTTGAAGATGAGAGGCCCAGAAGGAGGTTGGAGGGTGTGAAGGGAGTTTGTTTATGTATAATTATAATCACCTGACTCAGCCATAGCTGACCAGCCAAGGGGCCAGGCTATAGGGTGGGCATTTCAGTATAGCTACCCATATCTTAAGAGTCAACACCTACCCTGGCATCTCTCTAGACTTTCAACACGTAAGCTTAACTAGTACTTATTGTGTACACAAGTAGACTGTGTCATTGTTTTTGTGTTAGACAAATTACATAGCCATGATTGTTATGTAAATATATATTGGATTAAACATTTATGTAAGAGTGCCTATGTATGACTTACTTGAAATACTAAATGAATTGTATTCAACAGGTTTGACCGAATTATAATGTTCGTGTACGACGTGAGAAGTATTATTCACCCTCTAACCGTCTGATTGGCGGTTATACTGTCCTTCCTCCATAATTTCTCGTAAGAATGGGGGAAAATTCATGGCGGCAGCCCGGTCAGCACTTGCTCCTTCACCAACAATTTCAACGTTCGTGATCTTATTACGACGATTGAAACCTTGCAGCCACCCAGCGGAAGCAGTGAAGGGTTTGGGCTCTGCAACTCCCATTTTTCTCGCCACAGATAGGTACAGTTCTCTTGCATATTCCTGCACTGCCCGAGTGTCGCCCACCATGTTCCTACTTGACTGACGAATCAAGTACCTGACCAACAAACTTTCAGTCTTGAGCAACACCTTATTGTGGCAATATTTCACCATCGACGCACCTGCAGACTTTGTGATGCTCAGGTGTTCTTTGATCTTGCCGGCATCTTTCTTGATGGTGCGGATCGTCGATTCATTCACTCATGTTGTCGGGCGAGATCCACCTGCCTCGAGCCTTTCTCTAATTCCTGGACGATTTTGTACTTAATTTCATAGCTTAAGGCGTGTCGCACCTTCTTGGGCTTGGGGCGGCTTGGGCCAGGTAGTTCAAGGTTTCTCTGGGGTGGTGGGGGTCCAGCGGAAGCCATTGTTGAGTGGATTAGCGGGCACGAGGGAGCACTGTATACACGGAGACGGAGGACAATGGACTGATGCATCTAAGGTCAGCGACTTATTCCCTCTGGTGGCAGGGCACGCCAAGTTAAATTAGACCAATCACAGCTTGCGGCGGAGGAGATGCGTGGGTGGTAAGGATGCGTGGCCCAATCACAGTCCAAAACGTCATCTGACGTCAGCAGTGACGTAAGAGCGACCTAGCGCGCAGCTTGCCCGTGCTGCTTCCCGCATAAATTCAGGAATGTACCGCGTAACTAATAATTGGCGCGTCTGGACAGGTGCCGCGTAAATGACCAACCGAGTATAAAATATCCGCGTAAACCGAGGCTATACTATACTGTAGTTTGAAAGGTGTTATCCTAAAGAACATTCCCATGAACTTATAATAATTTTCCCCGATTGTTACCAGAGTCTTAAACAGTACAGATATGTATAAATAATGAGACACAGATACAAATAAGACAAAAGCTATTGTATTTCCTGACCCATAAGATGCACTTTTCCCCCTTAAAAAAGTCCTTAAAATCACCCTGAATCTTATCAGTCAAAGATCAAGTTAAAAGGTAAGAATTTCTGTTCCAAACATAAACCTCCCAAGTGTCAAATACAATCCCCAAATGACCCAGAAATATTACACAAGCTTATACTGCACGGTGCTTAGATAACGAGAAATTAATTATAGACTTAAAATATAATGCAGTGATAAAAATGGGCAACATTCAAAGTAGAGCAGAAGTTTATAAGAACAAACTGAAAACAGGATGGTTTGGTTTGAATAATGAATTTACAAATTTAATAAACATATGGTACATAATGGTAATACTTTCCTGTTTATAGTAAACCTTATTTTTTTTTGTAGTTTCGAAATTTTATTAAACCAATTCATTTTCTTAGTTATGAATTGTTTTTGACAACTTGTACTTACTAATCATGGTGGTCCCTCCAGCCAGTGCTGCCCTAGTGCCTGTATAGAAGTCATCCACAGCAAATGTTCCCATGAATGGCAGCTGCATGTGAGTGTGAGTGTCAATGCCACCTATGGAAGGAGGAGGGAAGATAAATTTTTCCACATTACTTATGACAGATGATAATTGTTCTAACATGGCCCATGTACAGTACAGTAGACAAAAAAAAAAGGCTCAAGACTGACCATTTGTCATTCTAGATTAAATCAGCATGAACTGTCAAATTAAAGCTAAATTTCACATAACAAACACTAAGTAAACAATAGAAGGCAGACAGTAACTTAAGAGCTATAGTCTGACCACTGCTTCAGCTAATGCCTCAAGTGATTATCATCAACTAGTCTACAGAGGCAGGTCACTCACTTCGGGAGGACACTACATCTTTCAGTTTAGTTTTGTAGAAGCAATTGTGTATTTTAATTGTTTTGTGAAAATAATATGCTATTAAAACAGATGTGGAATTTTGGAGCATTAATTGGAAAACCACCTTCCCACTGGACATGTCCTTACATACAGTATGAATCAAATCTGAAATTTAAATTTACTGTGCAGGATTTGTATCACAACAAACATTAATCATTTGATAGAAAACAAAAGCATCAGTACAGGTAGTCGTTAAGTACAATACTGTAACTTACTTAAGTCCATATAAAACAAAAATGCTGAACATTTCTACTAACCTGGTATGACCAAGTGACCTTTAGCCTCCACCACCCGTGTCCCACCAGGAGTGTGTAGATTGAGGCCAACTTGTCTGCAAAACAGGTAAGATGGCATTTTATCTTAAGAAACGACTTACAGGTATGAATGATTAATCATACTGTGCAAATTATTAAAAATATATTTAGAAAAATCATAGTACCTGAACACTGATTTAATTACAGCACCAACTGCCCAGCCACCACCTACCCTACTCAACAACACTCATTCACTGGACTACATACTTGATGATGCCATCTTCGATGTACACGTCAGCATCTTGCATCATGTCATCGTTGACCACTCTGCCACCCTTGATCAGCAGGCGGTTCTGGGCACTCTGGAATACAACAAATAAAAGCTTAGGTCAAGGAGCAGATATGACCAACATGACAAGAATATTAAAGCACCTGATCATGAAATTTAATGTGTGCAATCCAGGTATTTACAGAACAGGATCTTAAGGGGCTCAGCAAGCTCATTGCACAACTCTATTAGCACTGTGGGATGCAGCTTGTCAAGGCCGGGACTCTTATGAACCTTTAGCTTTGACAATTTATTTCTTATACCCTCTTCTGAGAACACAATGTGGGTCAGCACCGTGTCAAACCGTCTTTCCTCAAACGCAGGGAAATTGTTCGCATCATCTCTTGTGAACACCGAGAAAAAATAAATTGTTCAAAACCTCCGTCTCGTCCTGGTCTGAATTTGCGTAAGTACCAGCTTCAAGCTTCAGATTCGATACACCTACATGCGTTTTTAAATTTGTTTTTGCATAACGGTACGAAGCCTTTGGGTTTGGCTTGACCTAACTTGCAATCCACCCCAGGAACTCCTTTTCAGCCCTTCTACACTAAGAGTTTGCTCGGTTCCTGGACCTGGTATACATCCTCCTCAAACACTTTCCCCACACACACACACACACACTGTATACAGTATCAGGGGTGGGTCCAGGGGAGGTCCTGGGGGTCCGGACCCTCTTTTCATTAGAGAATTCCATTAAAATGTCTTTAATGCAGTACAGTATTGTACTCAGGTGTCTTTGTATAGTAAAATATAATTGCTATGGACTTCAGAGTATCTTCCAATATCAGGTGTAGATGGCTTCAAAATGGTTTCAAAATGTCCATGTGCTCGCCATGTTCCCCCTCCTACAACTTATTGAACCCCTCCCTTTTGATATTTCTGGATTCGCCCCTTTATATAAATATTTATACAAATCAGCATGTTCGGTATAGACAATGATGAACAAACACCTGAAAATCGTGACAACTCAGACAAATAAAAATACAATATGGGGAGGTGGGGAAGGAACCCAGACTCCAAGCTGACAGTTTGATAGTTAGGACTTGGGCACGACGACTCACACTTTTGCTGAAGGGAAAAAGTGCCAAGGAACATCCCTGCACAAAATGCAAATCTTTCGAATTTGCTTCCTATTCATTTTCTTTGGTAAGTGATCTTTATTAGGAAAGCAATAATGTGTACAGCTTAAAGATGGACAAAATAAACGCTAATGAAGAAACAAGCCAGCTAAAAAGTTGAAACATCAAACAGATGAACACAAGATGCAAACATTCATCCAGTAAGAAACAAATAAGAACACGAAGGACTCACTCTCAAACTATTAAGAAAATCAACTATGTACTCACTGAAACCCTAACAATCATACGAGCCTTTTGAGTCTATCGTGTTACTATACCACAATATAACAATCAATTATCTATCTTCACCCTATTTCCAGTTTTGCCTCTTGTCCATCAGTCGGCCCGCCATTTGAAGTGTTGTCATGGCAGGTGTGATGACAGGAGAGAACTGTTGCCAGACACCTGACCGCCTCATCACCTTTAATATCGAGTTATCCCACCACCTAACACTCTGCTTTCACAGGTCGGGGACTTGGGGGAGGGTGATGCTGGACTGGCTTAAAATAATTACATGTCAGCGTTCCCGTGTTTGAATCAAGAAACCATTATGCGTCTTTATGGTGTGTGTGTGTGTGTGTGTGTGTGAAACCAGTCTCCTCTACAGTAATTTTGAAATATTCTTCTCCAGTAACTTGTATCATTTCCAGTGTCATATCCTGTAAGCCATATACCAGTCAGGTTTGCTGGAATATTCTCGGTAATGCCGCACACACACACTCGACCCTCAGCGAGTAACGCCAGCCCTCGACCTGCCAGTTTCCGCGTTTAACTGGAAACTTCCCAGGGCTTTGTGTTGACCCCTGACCTGACCCTCCAGACATTACTTTCTAAAACCAGACACCCGTTATATATGTATAGATATGTGAGTGTGAGTGTGTGAGAGAGAGAGAGTGTGAGTGTGTGTGTGTGTGTGTGTGTGTGTGTGTGTAAGAATCCATTTACTAGAGCGTTTGTGTATGCATAAGCAGATACTTTCATGCCTGGCCTATGTATGCATGTGTATTAATGAGAAGTATGTATGTATGTATGTATGCGAGTCCATACAATAGAAAGACTCAAGTGCTACACACACACACAAGCAGCTACGGGAGTATGAAGTCGTCACCTTTAACCCGGCTGTGTGTGGCTGTAAGTCCTCCACGTGTGTGTGTGTGTGTGTGTGTGTGTCACCGGCTGGACACCCCCTGACGCCTGACCACCACGCCCATAAACTAACCACGAAAAACATTCGAGAGGAAAGAAAAATAATGACGGAGTGGTTCAATATGAAAGGAAAGGAGGAGGAAGGAGATACAGAAGGGTAATGAGAGAGGAGAGAAAGGAGGGTAAAGAGAGGAGAGAAAGGAGGGTAAAGAGAGTAGAGAAAGGATGGTAATGAGAGTAGGAGAGAGAAAGGAGGATAATGAGAGAGAGGATGGAGGGCGAGAGCAACAAAACCACAAGGCGGCAGCACTATACACTGCAGGTTCAGCGCCTACTGATATCAAGTTGGCGGGGAAAATGGTGAGGCAGCCGCGGAAATGGAGCAAGTTGGCGGGGAAGCGACAGTTGGCGTCAGGAAAATCGTTTGGAGTCTAGACAATCCGAGATCCCGCGAAGAAACCTATTTTCCCGAAACAGGATTCTGCCAAGACCTGCTCGACGTATTGACTCCCTCCGTAATATTATTTTTTCTGTTTCAACATTTTCAATCCTTTTGCTCTTAGCTACCAGGAGTTCCCGGTTCAAATTTTCTTTGTTTGCGAGTTGCCATAAGATAAATTGTTTTGGAAGCGTAGTGAACTGATATACATGTTAACTGTTCACGTTGTTATGCAGTTTTAGGATAAGAGCAAGAGTGAGTGGATAATCCTACTTCTTGTCTCGACAGTTTCCACACTTGTCTTGCTTAACTCTCAACATTATTCCCACCCTTTGAGGCTCCTGTGCCCTCTGATCAATCCCTTGCACTAGTGTGAGAGCAGCGAAGACCACCTACCATGTATGAACAGGAAAAACATTTAAAAACCACAAGTGCTTAAATGAAGAAATGTTGAGCAACTTTTATCACACTCTCTCTCTCTCTCTCCCTCTCCCTCTCTCTCTCTCTCTCTCTCTCTCAGTGGAAGGGGTGATGGGATAGAGTTGAGAGGCCAGGCTACCGACGCAGTCCTCTGCATCATCAACACACACACACACACACACACACACACACACACACACGTCCAGAGCAGCAATATTAATTAAAGCTAGTTTTCGGCAATGGTACGACACGACCACGGAGAAGGACAGACATTACCCAATTTTATTATGTAAGTTTTGGACGACATAATTATTAAGAGTTTAGAGAGGGAAGGCCATGTAAGGTTAGATTAAGTTAGGTTACAGTACGTGTCACTTGATACTTTGGTTAGGTTACTGAAGGTTCGTGAGGGCTAACCTTAACATAAAAAAAAAATCTTACGAGTTTATCGACGAATCATCATTCCAGAAGACCGCTAGCTGCAAAGACTATCTATAAACTTTCATTAGTGTACAATAAAACTACAATTATTCGAGAATAATCTAGTGCATGGAGACGGGGAACTGTTGCGTGTGTGAAGAAGACACAGTGACGGCGGTAACTAAAGAGGGACCGTGGACACATAGGGGTTTAAAGTGGCAATGGTGGTCTCCCTCCCCTGGATGTCACCTCGCCTGTTTTCAACTCGCTTCCCTCATATACTGCCAATTTCCTCTCCTTTCCACCCGCTCCCTGTCCATATATCCTGCAAATACTTTCTCCCTGTATGTCCTGCCAATATCCCCTCACTTCAAGTCCACTCCCTGTCTATATATCCTGCCGATCTCTTTTTCCTTAATATCCTGCCAATATCGTCTTGCGTTCTCCCACTTCCTGTCTGTAATGCAAAAACCAACATCACCTCCTTCCTCCCACTCCCTGCTCAAGTATCCTGTCATTATACTTTCTCCCTACATTCCTTTCTCTCTGTCTATCACCACCACCCGATTTTCCTGACTATATCTTCACTACACAAGAGTATTCAATTATTTGCCTTGAGTTTGAAGCCTCCTGCAATTCTCTTACCATGAGACACACGCGCGCACACACACGGTCTGGAGGGTGTGAGGGCAGGACATTCATCACAGCTTTATTCCAGCGGCGCCCACCTTCCCCCTCCCCCACACTGGAACTAACTCTGAGTCACGGGACACTGGGGGAGAGGGGCGGGGAAATGGAAAGGAGAAGAGGAGAGAGAAAAAGAGCGAATGAGAGAGGAAGATGGGGGGAAGGGAGAGAAGAGAAAGAGGGGAGAATGAGAGGAAAGGCGATGGAAATAAAAGGAGGGGAGAATGATGGCGAGAGAAGAGGGTAAGAGAAGACAAGAAGAAACGGGAGAGAAAGGATGAGGGAGAGGCGAGACTGTTGTAACATAGCCACACACCTTCAGTACGAAATGTTACATAATATGACATCATCATCTCACTGTACAGAACTTTGGATCGACAGGTGAACCAACCAGTCGGTAAATTCGGCGGGTCCTCCTTCAGATGATGACCTCGAGGTAATGACGTCGCTTAGGCAGAGGTTTGTTTGTTTACATTTTTCCCTCAGGTGCTGGGAGATGCGAGAAAACAACAAACTCAATCACCACGAACACTATGACGACGACCAAGATGATGTGACAAATTGTACGGGAAATTACCCAAACTAAATGTGTTTCTTTTGAATAATCTTTGAGAATCTTAAACCCAAGTCACTGTTAATTTATGTATTAAGAGTTTTCCATGACAGTTTGACGATTACCTGTTTACAGAAGTTTACCCGAGGTTTACTATATAGGTTCGACGAATTATGGTATGATAAGGGAGTGACTGGAGGATTGTATTTTCCATGACTCGCTTGACACAAACAACCGATAGTGTTTAGGGC